AATATGCATTTTTATTTTCATTTCTAAATGTTGTTTTTATTTTTAATTTTTTTCTATGAACATATATATAGATTTTAATTTTAAAAAGTGAAAGAAAAATATTTTGTCAAGAGAAATATAGAACTTTATTACCTATTAAAATTATTTAAAATGAAATCATGTTGGCCATTTTCAGAACTTGTGTGGTCAATATACATCTCTATGGGTAAGTTGAACATTTGCAAATGTTATAGGCATCAATGTTTTTAGGTTTGTGGAGATTAAAATTGGTTATTATTAGTTTCGCAATTGTTATTTATTTTCATAAAAAATGTGAATTGAATTTTAGAAACATAATAGTGGATATTTTAAATGGTATGACACATAGCTTTTGTATCAAAGATACATAATTGTTAACATACTAAAGTTTAATAAAATCTGTTAGGATATCTTTGTCCCACCTTGGGTCTTGATGTATAGTGTAGGTTCACTTTCGTTCTTCTTAGATCCTTGATCTATAAAGTGCCTATTAATTTGACTATACCATGCTCGCGGTGTTTGTTTGAGCTCATACAAAGCTTTTTTAAATTTGAAGACTTTCTCTTTTCTTTCTTTTACTACAAAGCCTTTTGCTTACTCTACATATATTTCTTAGTCTAAATTTTCATTCAAGAATGCTTGACAATTAAAAATCTCGAAGTTTGATATAATGCATTAGTAGATATTGTTTATTGTATTATCACTACAAAGGTAATGAGTACTAACATTGTACACAAATGCGATGATGACAATGAATTAAGGGATAATATAATGTTTACTTTCTAAGATAACAAGGAAAATTTACCATTTGACATGAATATGAGTAATGTATCTGAATTTTGGAAACTATGATCGAATTATCTCTCCTAGTGCCTTATATGTTATGAAATTGAAATATATATTGGTTAGTTTAGCACATCCAGGACCATCTCAATTATAATTGATAAGAACACAATGTCGGAGTATAGTGAATGGATATGAACAATTACGGAGAAAATAGACAGCGGTCATAATCTTAAAATCAAAGGGAGACTAGCTTTAATTTACAATGTAATAACGCTCAGTTTTCTTCAACCATCATCCATTGTTCTTGCAAGTTTTTTACACCTTTGGAGTAAAGAGTAAAGAACTTTATGTAAGTACATGAAGTTGGGAAGGAAAATGGTTCAACAACTCCATTATGTAAATCATAACCTTTGTAAGTTGGGTAAGTAAGCTACAATCCTTCATTAATGTTTGTTAAAACCAATCAAAAGTAGCAGAAAGCAACAAAATTATACTAGCAAATACATTACTCATTCAAGTAATAATATGACGAGTAAACCATCATTCCCACAAGGATACTCCAAACGCAAAACTAATTTAATTTACACTCTAATGCAATTTGAGAGAACCAAAATTATTTCAAGTGTTTAGTGTTTAAATTAAAGTGAATCTACTAAGCTAACTAATTATCAACTTTAGTAAATGTAACTAAAAAAATTTAAAAATTGGGAATTTTAATTTCACCTACACCAAATTGCATTAGTCTCCTTTATAGACCGAATACATTCTTATGCTGAATGAGATGAAAGAATTCCTTACATATAATTCTTGGATAAGGTACTAATTGACTAGAAAATAAGGATGAACACATATATTATTCAAATTGTTTGTGCGTTTCGTTGATTAAAAAGTTGAATAACAAAGATTGATTTCAGTATTGATATACATAGAGTGTTCATGTTTTCGAACAATTTTAATTTGATAACCTGGTGTCAGGTATGTTTTAGATATAATTTTTAATATGCAATATAATTTTTAAGTACAAATAGATCAGATTTGATTATTTTTTATTTTCCGCTACGTGTTATGAATGTATTACAATCTTGAAATCTCAAGTACAATATCTAGTTTGGTTCTTTATTATTATGTTGTTACTCCTCGTTTTCTCTTTGCCATTGGTTATTTATTTTTTATCCATTTCATGCATTTTGTTGATCAGATACGCATATATATAAGCCTTGAATCATTCTTTCCTTTCTAAATTTATCATCATATTGTTTTATCTTTTCTTGCATTGTTATAGTAGTTCGTCGAATCCTAATGTATTTATCTCTCTTTTGTGTCTCTTTCCCTATTCGATGTTGTTAACTTTGGGTTGCTTCACATTACAAGAACAATTTTTGATTCAACTCTTTCATGTGCTTTTATCACTCCTCTTTTCTCGTTTCCTGTGTTGACTATTTCACTTTGATTCTTTTTATATATTTTCTTGATCCATATTATAGGTGCCTGAATCTTAAACCTTTATTTCTCTTTTCAAATCCATTACTGTTTTTTTTTATTTATACCATTGAGATGGGATTATTCATTGAATCTTTACGTTTTTATTTCCCGTAACACTCACTCAAATTTTGTGAATTAGATCTAACGCCCAATATGTCGTTGTAATTGCTCTCGAATTATATTTCATGTGTTTGTTGTTTTGTTTTGATTCGTTTCATATGTTTTCTTGATCAAGTCTACATGCACTTTTTCCTTTTCTTTTCCATGTATTGTTTTCTCTTAAAAATTAAAAGTCAAATAAACATTCTATTAGAATTCAAGGTTAATACTTTAAATTTTTAGAGCTCTAACCTATAAGAGAAATTCATGAAAGTCTACCATAAGCTTCTTTCTCTTTCTTTTTTGTGTTTCCTGTCGTGAATTTTTTCCTTCAAGTTTTTATATCATGTTACGTGCTTGTTCTCATGCCATATTTTATAAGTACCCTGTTTTTGGTAAACCATGATTTGAATTATCTTGTTAGTTATATTACAATATAGTTTTTAGCTGTTGTATTTGAATTGCGTACTTCAATATTAGTTTTCAGTATATAACTATTAGTTGATTGTGCAGTCCTTGAAAATGTTTGATAAATGATTTAAGAATGATAGAGAAGAACTTGATTTCTTAATATTCAAGTTGAACTTTTTCTGACTAGGTTAGGGATCTTTTCAGGTGTATCCTTTTGCTACTGTTTTCAAAGAATCGGTAATGATTCAATTCCAATGAGATCCCGTGTTATTGTGCGTGTATGGTCCATATGGCACTGGAAAAGTTCATTGTGGCAATACATGCTTGATTGGTTGTGTTAAAGGAATGAGAATGAGATGTTTGGAAACAACGTGAGATGAGAAAAAATATTTGTTGTTAGAATTGATAAGATCAAATGTTATAATTTACGTGTTTGACCTTTACTATGGCGAGTGCGCTCTCACGAAAGATCAAAAAGTGCAACAAAGTTCACATTTTTTTAGTTTTAGGGGGATGGGGAAATAACATGAAATATTAATATATCATTTTGGTTAACTCCCACTTGTCTGCATATATACTTTTTTTTTTTCTTATCTTTTATATTTATTTTGTGACCAATGATATAAATTATATATTTACGTAAATTATATAATTTATATGTCTAACTTTCACTATGACAAGTGCAATCACATTTCTTTTTAGTTTTAGGGGGAGAGGGAGATGACATGAGATTTTAACATATTATTTTGACTCAACTCTCTTTATCTCCCATTTCTCTGCCTATATATTTTTTATCTTATATTTATTTTTTCACCAATAATATAAATTATATCTTTATATAAATTGAGTAATATACATGTTTGACATTTGCCATGGCAGGTGTGCTCGCATGGCAGGTCAAAAAGTACAATAAAATTTACGTTTTTTAGGGGAGATTGGGAGATGAGACAAGATATTAATAAATTATTTTGGTTCGTCTCTCCCTATTTCTTATTTGTCTGTTTGTATACTTTTTTTTTCTCTTTCTTATCTTTTATATTTATTTTCTTACTTATAATATAAGATTATATATTTATATAAATTATATAATTTATATATCTAATTTTTGCCATGAGGGATGCGCTCGCATGACAGGTCAAAAAGTACAATAAAATTTACGTTTTTTTTTTGTTTTAGGTGGATGAGGAGGTGACATGAGATATTAATATATTATTTTAGCTTGGCTCTTTATATCTCCCATTTGTCTTCTTGTATACTTTTTTCTTTTTCTTCTAATGTACTACCATAGAAGCTACAAGACAAAACCCCTGAAAATATGACCTCCAAGGATTTGGAGTTGAGAAACAAAAAAGTTTAATCAGCATTGTTATTATTATTATTATAATTATAACTGAAGTTCCTTTGATTGAACTGTTTTTTGTACAACATGAAATGTTCGAAAGGCAGTGAGGGATTTGTTTCCCAATTTTTTTCCCGATCATATTTGCTTTTTTTTTTTTTTTTTTTTCCTTTTTCTTCACTAATTTTCGTTTGTAATATCACCCTGTTCATGTGGTTGTTGCTCACCCTTGGTTGGTAAGGCACTAAGAGATTTGTTGTTGATGGAAGTGAGGTTTTGGTGTATATGCATACTTATAACAATGTCATTTGACCACAAGGTAAACAAGCCCATTACTATGAGAAACAAGAAAATCAAAGCACCCAAAATAAGTATCTGATTAAGATACTATTCCGAGACAGAAATTCTAGTCTTCCAATTAAATTTAAGAGATCTATTCACATCTTGGCTCAAAAATTATACTGAATAGGCAAAATTCTCTAGCCAGCTATCCCGAGTCCACATTTTGCAAAAATTCTAGTATTCTAATTAAATTTGAAAGATGTATTCATTCACATCGTGGCTCAAAAAATATACCAAGTTGATGAAATTCTCTAATCAGCTATTCCGAGTATGCATTTTGCAGAAAGAAAGATGTATTCATACACATCGTGGCTAAAAAAATGTACTAAGTTGATGAAATTCTCTAACCCACTTAGAAATAAGGGACCGGCTGATTATTTGGGTTTAGGATGGGGTAATGTGCCCATGAACAACAATAATTTCTTTTATTCTTTTTTAAATGTTGGAAAGGATAATTAAGAAAAAAGAAAAGCTAAATGTACAATGATTTTTATATAAAAAAAAAAAAAATTGATGTAGCTGCTAATATATAAAGTAAATTATCCACCTTTACTTCCACACCAGTTCGGTATCACTTTTAGTTTTATTTCTATGATATTTATATTAGTTTGAACTAAACAATCAGACTTACAGTATTTTTTGCTTTAATTGAAAATAGACTTTTTGCTTTACCATTTTCATTTTACCTTCAAGTCAAGGACTCGGCTTGGGATCTTTTGATGGAGGGTGTTGTCTTGCAAGGAAAGGAACTTCTACTACCCTTCCAACAATGTTGTCTCCAATAAGTACAGTATCTCCAATTGAAGCAGCTCGCCTCTTGATGTAGCCTAAACCAAAATGCTCCTTTTTTCTTCTTCCAGGTGTATAGCTTGTCAATTTTCCTACCTGCTAAAATTCATGAAATTGCAAGAGAGGAGATTGGTTAACTCATTAAACGTGCAAGACTAATTAAAATATTAAGGTATTGACTCTTATTTATGTTAAAGAAATAGTACATATTAAACTATTCTGAAAGTGCTCTTGTTATTATTTTAAAGAATTAATAGATAAGTTATTGAGGATACAAATGCCAAGGATGAGGGAAACAATGAAGATGACAATAGGAAACTAAATATATAGCAACCACCCTCTAACAAACCTTACTGAAAATATTCTTCTTCTCTAAAACTTCCCCTCAACTTGAATCCTAACACAGCTATTATTGCCAAAAAAAAAAAAAAAAAGAAAAAAGAAAAACTGAAAGCAACTGAAAATCTCAAGCTAATCACCAGAAAATCACTTGTAACTGGATAAGTCCATGCTGATTTTATGATATTTTTTTAGTATTGAAATAGTTTTTCCCTTAGGAATTTAAGGGTAAAACATAAAAGAACTGGGCTCTTTTCATATGAAGAAAATCTGGAATTCTAAGTTTTTTTCTTCTTTATTGTGGACGATTAAGTGAGAGGATGAACCAAAACAGGTAAGAGATGCAAAGCACTAAGGACACTTGCTAAGTACCAACAAAACCTCAAAATCCTAGGATTTATTACCCTGATAACATATAGAAGAATTAACAAAAATATTGTTACATGTCTTATCATGTTAAAAGAAATTAGTTATCCTCTTAACAGAATATATGAAGAATATTCTTATTCTCTTTCGATATCAAACATCAACTATGAAAGAGGAAAGTACATTTATACCTTTTTCTCATCAACTGTAATAGCACTTCCATGTTCTGCAGGTCCAGACAAAGAGAGTCCCCATAATCTCTGTTTAATTCCATCGTATGTTATGAGTCTTGCTATTGTCTCTTGTCCCTTGTAACACCCTGAGAAGTTTGAAATAAAATCAATCTTCTATATATCTTTCTATGCAGAGCTTAATTCTAGGTGATTACCTTTGTTCAAACAAATGGAATTCCAGAGACCAGCCTCCAAAACATTGAACTCACTGGTGAGCTCCTTTCCGGGAGCTGGCCTTCCTGCAAAAATTTATTTCCTAAGAAGGCCTAGAAATTAATGCAACATATAAACCAAATAGCCAGGCAATGGAAAATGTAATGCTACAGACCTGTGCCATTTCTTATTATGAAAAAACAATTATTAAAGAATTTATCAAAACTTTTAGGGATACTTCTATTATGCACCAAAAGCGCCAAACCCTAATATAAGCTGTAACCGACTAACAGTGAGGTGTCCTAAAGAGGGATCGGCAGAATGTCAACACAGAGGATAAGTCATAGCCTCCAGGAGTCCTGTTGACATCAACATCTGCTTCTGCTTAGGACATCTTTGCCCCTTGCAATAAGGTCTCAAAGATGTTGGATTTCACAGGAAACTTACATTACAATTTTCTTAGAGTGAGATGGAACCTATGCATTAGAGTGAGATGGAACCTATGGCGAAGATGGATTAGAGGTTGCAATCGGTATCATTTGTGGTCATTGTTAATGGAAAACCCCACGAATAGTTCAGGTTTTGAGGGGTTTAAGACAAGTAGATCCTCTATCTCTTTTCCTTTTCAGTTTGGTAGTGAATGTTCTAAACAGAATGCTAACAAAGGCCATAGAAAGATATTCAGTGAGAGGACTAAAGGTTGGCGTAGATAGGATAGAGGTCTCCCATTTACAATCCGTAGATGCTACAATATTATTCTTACAAGATGATAACAAATCCATCGGGAATACTTAAACCATCATCCAAGTGTTTGAGCATATTTTCGAGCTAAAGATTAACTTGGCAAAGAGTGGGCTAGCTGGGGTCAATGTAGAGGGAGAGATACTTGATTATCTAGTGAGATCCATTGGATGTACTAGACTTGATTGGCCCATCACTTATTTAGGTGTTCCTTTAGTGGATAACGCTAGTGCCCAGACTTTTTAGGAGTGGGGAGAGCTGAAAGTGACAAAACGCCTTGAGAGTCAGAAGGGGTGACTTCTTTCAATTTGGAGAAGGGTAATCCCGATTAACGCATGTGTGTCTAGCATCCTGTTACATTTCTAATCCCTCTTCAGGATCTTGGTAGGAGTAACTACAAAGATAGAGAGTTCCATGAGGCAATTTTTATGGACCAGGGAGGGGGAGGATAAAATGGATCATTTGGCCAATTGGATCCATGTTGCCTATGCAGGGAGTTTGATGGATTAGGTTTAGGAAATCTCTCCAAGAATCTATCAATATTAGCTAAGTGGTTCTGGTGCTTCCTTCAGGAGCCAAACTCTTTGTAGCACAAGGTGACCAAAAACATTTATGGGTGCAGATGGAATGAGCAGGAAATGATCACATATGCAACCAAGTCTCACCACAGTCCTTGGAAAGCCACTTCCAAGCCTATCCTCAATATTGCCATCTTGCTCGTATCCGCTTAGGAGATGGCTGTAGAGCCAATTTCTGGGAGGATACTTGGTTTGGAGATCAGCCGTTAAAAACTAAATTTCCACATACTTATGGTTTGTCCACAAGACACGACACTCCTATCTCACATTTTATTTCAAGCATACAGGGGAATACAATCTGGAATTTTCACCCTAGTCGTGACCTTTATGACAGGAAGGCTTCTGAAATGTTAGACCCCTTGATCCTCTTGGAGTCTATCCAAATAACATTCCTTCCTGATACTATAACTTGGACCTTAGGACCTTAGGCAAATACTCATGTAAATCCTTCTTCAAACACCTCATTTCAAGATCAAACCAAAACCCACTTTCCAACGCCAAAGTGTTTTGGAAATCTCCTGCTGCTTGCAAAGTCAAGGTTGTCTCATGGACCACCATCCATCATAAATCAAACATGTATGATATGCTCCAAGTTCGCCAACCTCACCTCAGTTTGTCTCTAGATATATGTATGATGTGCTCCGGAGGGGGAAAGACGCGCTCACACTTATTCTTACCTTGTGACACATCTTGGAGGTCTTTGACAAAGTTGGTAAGGATTTTCGGCATCTATTGGGTGACCCTTCCCACTGTTGAAATTTCCATGAGCTGTCATATCAAAGGAGAGGGGGTGATTCAGGGGGCTATAGCACTCTGGAGAGGGGCTCTTTATGCAGGGTTATGGTGCATTTGGCTTTCTACGAACAGTAAATTTTCAATGATTGGGTTGCTTCTTCCAAAGAGTTGTGGGAAAGGGCCACCGTTTTGGCATCAATTATGGGTTAAGGCAAACGGCTAAATTCTACCACAAGCATCACTTATCTCCACCACAACTGGAAGTTTTTACCCTAACAGTTAGAC